GCTTCCACTTGGTTTCCTCACATGGAGGAATGAAACCAAGACGTAAACAAAAGAAGTTGAGAAAGCTAAAATGCAGAACCAGATTACTGGTGTTTACAAATATGTATACACATTTGGATTCTCTTATTTATAGTGACTAGTGCATGAACATCTGTGTAGAAGTCACGGAAAGCAAAAACAAAAGTAACTACGTAAGTAGAGACAGTCTATCAATTTAAGTATACTGCCACTGCTAGGCATATAATAGCTAATTGTATAAGAAAATCAGAGCTCTATGTTTCCACACTCCCAGATCCCAATTTTTATCAAATTCCAAATAAAGTACAGTAAAGTTACAGTATACACAGAGATGAAAAGATATAAAACACCATCAAGAAATTCGCAGATCTATCGAGGCAACAAGCAACACTGAGAGCACTTAAAAATGAAGTTACTCTACCGAACTAGTATGAAACCAGGTAGATATCTTAATCACCAACCTGAGTTGTAGGTCTACCCTTTCCGGTAAAGAATCCAGCTACTAGTACAGCAAGTGGCGTAAGCCTTTTGATGGCAATATACATAGGAATATTTACTCCTTTCAAGCTTGCTAAAGCAAATCCCACATTTGCATTGTAGAACAATGAAACTGGGAAAAGTCTTTTTGCAGTCTCTGCATTTAATTCTTTGGCTTTTGTGTATCCCATGACTCTACCAAGGTGTATGAGCAAAGCTGTTGCTATTTGCTAATAACAGTGTATAGTCCAGCCAAAAAGGAAAAAAGGTAAGAACAAAAGAAACACAAGTCAACAGTTCACAAGATGATAGAAATCCAATATGTTTTCTGTCTATTCAGCATACTGACAAGTCATGTTATTGTACCTGGACTGTGAGAAGAGTCATTGAGTGGGCATATTGCATGATCACTGCCTTGTTGATGAAAACCATAGCCATAGATGCAATGCCATACGAGAATGCAGCGATTAAACTGTCATTTAATACATGTGTTCTGTTAGTCAATAAGTTCCTAGAAACCATATACAGTGATGTAACTTTAAACAGGCAGGAGATGGTTGGTTTTCTCTTCTGTACAAGACACTCCACTTCCAACCAAGATGTAGCAGGTTAATTTGTTCAAGTCACGAAAGCGGGAAAATAGGAAAAAACCATTGTCAGCCTATGGGTTGCAGTAAGGTTTATCATATAAAAGATGATTAACTCCAAACAGCATGATCATAATATACTTCTATGTTCTCACACTTGACGGATCATTTTCGTTCTAATTGCGAAAAGTAGAATGGGACTACTCTTAATTCCCTGATCAATTGGTCTTCCTAATATATATTGCTTTGTTAAAGGATGCAAGGACATGTCTACCTCCGGATATATACTCCTTTTTCACTAGGCTATTATTTAATAAAGCTCTACGAGCCTATCATGCATTCTTGTTGGGGGTGAAAAATAAAGGACTCCCTCAAAAACCCCAAGCTTTGGGCAGAGTGGTATAGTGGAGAAGAAATGTGTCACTCAGCGAACTGAAACAGATGATGTTCCATTCTTTTTGCTTAATTCTTCCAGAAATTTAAACAGATTTCAGGAACATTCACTTCATTCTTTAGTCATTAACAGAAGTGCTGCTTAATCAGCCATTTCAAATTTTCTTTCAGCAAGTTACCACAAGATTCAGTGGATGCAATTTATGAGGAAACTACCAAACAAGGTGAAAATGTAAAAAGCAAACAACAGAGCGAAAACACAACAAGGAGAAGTCATAATTTACTTGCATGCAACAACAACAACAACATACCCAGTGTAATCCCACTTGTGGGATTTGGGGAGGGTGGTGTGTATGCGGACCTTACCCCTACTTTGGGAGGTTGTTTCTGATAGACCCTCGGCTCAAGGATAAGCACATCAAGGCAGATCGAAAGAGAAATAATGGAACTGAAGAAATCATGAAAAGCATGACAAAACATTCTGAAAAAAAGAACACTAACTACAACTTAATAGTGCAATAATCGAAGTACAAGAGACACTAACAGAAATTGAAGGACAAGAAACTACAAGAGAAATACTACGACTACTAGTATAAGGATGAATAATCTCCATAAGAAATTTACTTGCATGCAAGTAACTAGAATAATTCAGTTTATTAATTGAAAGAAAACGAACCTCAAATAAGGACTTGAATCCATAATCTCCATTTGTCCAACGAAACAAAAAGGAAAGAATCCTTCAGTAACAGAAAATCTTTGAACCTTAAAGACAGCTTATCACTTCATTGACAGTCCTTTATATACACAAAAAAATCTGCAATTGAATCAAGAAATTAGAAAAGAAGAACACCCAGATTGATATAAAAGCCAAAAAAAGTATCACATGCACTCCAAATCTGCTAACCAAATCAATCTCTGCTTGAGATTGCTCAGTTGAGCTCAAATACAGCTTTCAATTAACTCAAAAAACAATTGTTTTGCACCAATTTATCGAAATCTCTATAACTTAAGCACGAAATTAGAAAATGAAAAACACCCATATAAGGAAAACCCGAAAGCACAATCCCCACTTCAGATACAAGCTTTCAATTAACTCAAAAACAAATCTTTTGAACTAAAATTACTGAAATCTCTATAATCAAAGCACGAAAATGGAAAAATGAAGAACACCCAGATAAAGAAAAACCCAAAAGCACAATACCCACTTCAGATACAAGCTTTCAATAAACTCAAAAACAAATCTTTCACACTAAAATTACTGAAATCTCTATAATCAAAGCACAGAATTGGAAAACGTAAAACACCCAGATAAAGAAAAACTCTAAAACACAATACCCACTTCAGATACAAGCTTTCAATAAACTCAAAAACAAATCTTTCACACTAAAATTACTGAAATCTCTATAATCAAAGCACAAAATTGAAAAACGAAAAACACCCACTTCAGATACAGCTTTCAATTAACTCAAAAACAGATCTTTTGCACGAAAATGGAAAAATGAAAAACACCCATATAAAGAAAAACCCAAAAGCACAATACCCACTTCCCAAAATAGCAAAAGTTACCTCCTTTATCTATAAGTATATATAAAAATTCTCGTGATTACATGATTTTTCTGAGTATATAGGAATTGAAAAATGGTTTTTTTTTTTTTTGGATCAAGGGATGTGTAGTGTAGAGAGTGATACAGTGTGATAAAAACTTGGAATTTGGTGTAAAAAAAAGGGATCTTTTTGTTACTATATTAATATATTTTGTTTGTTGATGATGACCGTAGGCCATTTTTATCGGCTGCTAACAAAGAAAAAGAAATTTGCCGGAACTTTCGTTTTAGGTAGTTGACTCTTAGCGTGCTGTTATTTTGTATTTTATTTTTCATATTTACTTGCAAAATTTACCCGGGAGATAATCAATTGTAATGTGTATTTATTGGTTTCGAGATTAGGATAAACACAGATTGTAACTTTATATGTCTTTTAAAGGGCATGTTTTCGGTAAGTCGGAGGTGTGTTATGTCCTGCAAAATCACCTCCCTCAGTTCTTATCTTTTACACATTCTCTTTCACTTATCTGATCTATCTCAATCTTGTTTTTACTTAGTTTATATTTCACGAAGACTACTCTTAGGGCCCGTTTGGCCATAGATTTCCCAAATAATATTTGGGGAAAAATTTGGCAAATAGTGTTTGTCCATACAATTTGTCATTATTTGGCAAATATTTTTGGCAAATATCCCAAATTCCCAAATACTAGTTTTTTCTAGTATTTGGGCCAAATCTCATTATTTGGGATCTTTTGAAAATTGAAATTTTACACCAAACTTTTATCTTTTACAAAAACACCCTCTATAGTAGTTGTTTGCGTTGTATTACATTTTTTTTTACGTGAACACCAAAGTAGTGATGAAATATTCAGTGAATCTGAAAGTGATGATTTGGTTGTTGATGAAAATGATGAACAATCGGCTCAAGGTAACAAAGTCATGTGCTTTGTCTACTTCACGATGTATGAAATGGTGGTTGTTGCACTCACTCCAAACTACCACATTGCTCTAGTGGCATGGAAACTACTTGTTATTTGTTGCAACGAATATCCAATTGACTTGTAATACAAACTTATGGTTAGTTTTGATAGTTTTTAAAACTTATGGGTATAAATCATATTTTTCTAAAAAGTGAAATATATTTCATAAATACTATGGCCAAACACATGGTGAAATTTCACCCAAATTTTCACCCAAATAATATTTGTCAAGAATATTTGGAAATCTATGGCCAAACGCTAGCTTACTTTATCATGAATAGATTTGTTCTTAATCATGTCTCTTGATATGCACACATATCCATTTGAGCATCAACATCATTGTTGCTTTCGTCTTCTGAACTTGTATGTTCTTGATTGGCCAACACACAATTGCATACAACAATGCAGGTCTAATCATTGATTTTTGTAGAACTTCATTAAGCCTCTGTAACAGTCTTATCACACAGGCCCCTAAATATGAGCATTTACTTCATACATCTCGCTCCATTACACTGTTCGACATTCTCGTCAATCTGAATCTAAGATACTTGAAAACGCTTCTCTTGAGTATAGCATGTGAATCAATCTTCACTTCCACCTTTGTCTCTTATGTTATGCCACTGAACTTGCACCCTAAGTACTCGATCTTAGTTATACTAAACTTAAAACCTTTAGACTTTGAAGTTAGTCTCAAAGGTTCCAATTTCTCGTTAACTATGTGTATCTCGCCAATCAATATTACATTATCTATGAAAATAACATACATCACAACACCTTTCCTAAGTATGTCACGTCAATTCATCTATCATCAAGGCATGTGTTAAAATGAGCGTAGGACTAAACCTACAATCCCATCAAGACCGAACCTATTATTCTTACTAGGAGCTTAACGTCATCGTGTATGTATTCAATTACCTAATAAAAAAAATTCTTATACATCCAACCAAACGACTCCGAAAATTAACTTTAAAAACCCAACTCAAACAAACGGTAAAATTTTCTGCCTGCAACAATTTAGATAAGAAATATTCAGAGTTCAAACTTTTCAGCTAAAATGGCAGTGTCCCCTGTAGCTGGTCTCAACTCCAAGCTTTCACTTCCTTCAGGTTCCTCAAATCTCCCCTATTTCAATTGATTGGGCTGCTATTTAGGTTAATTCTTCATTTCTATCTTGTGTATTTTGGGTTTTAATCTTTTGATTATTTCTTCAGGGAAGCAGCAACACTCCAAATTCACTGGCCAATCAGTGGTAAAGTTCCTTAATTTCTCTTAATTAAGCTAAAGAAACTCCTCATATGTGTAACAATTGCTTGTAATTTTTTTGTTTTTTTGGATATAGAGAGCAATACCTATACGCATATTAACTGTGGGGAAGAATAGGTCACATGGAGTGCAGTTAATAGTTGATGAGTATATGAAGAAGCTCAGGAATTATTGTAGTGTTGATGATGTTCGAATAAAGTCTAATCCCAAAAATGCACGGTATGTTGAAATATTGTCGATTTTTTCGAGTAGATTTGGTATATTTTTATTGGAAATTGGTGAAAATTTGTGAGTTTTAGTCTTTGTGTTGAACACTAGATGTAATGGTAATGGTAATTTCACTTAGGGATTGAGATGTTGAAGTGATTGACAGAGGTGATAGGTATCGTTGGAATTAATAGTGGGTTGGATACTATGTTTATCAAAAAATGGACCTTCCAACAGAACAACTACGCCTCAATACCAAATAAGTTGGGGTTGGCTATGTGAATCCTCATTGACCATTTTCTTCGTTTAATTTCATCTGACTTTTTTTTTTTTTTTGCGAAGTTGGTATGTTTCAATTGGGAATTGGTGATAATTTGTGAGTTATGGTCTGTGTTGAACACTAGATGTAGTGGTCCATTTCACTTAGACATTAAGATGTTGAAGTGATTAGACATTCCAACGGAACAACTACGCCTCAGTCCTAAACAAGTTAGGGTCGGGTATATGAATGTTCTTCATTTAAATTCATACTAGAAATGCTAGGTATGTTGAAATTTTGTCCTTTTCTTTAATCTTTGCAAAGTTGTTATATTTCAATCGGAAATTGGTGATGATAAGTGAATTCTGGTCTTTGTATTGAATACTAGATGTAGTGGTCCATTACACTTGGACATTAAGTTATTGAAGTGATTGGACCTTCCAACAAAACAACAACTACTCCGCTATCCCAAACAAGTTGGGATTGGCCGTATGAATCCTCATTGACCATGTTCTTCATTTAAATTCATCCCCAAAATGTTCGGTGTGTTGAAATTCTGTTTTCTTATTCTTGTTTTTGGCAAAGTTGGTATATTTCAATTGGAAATTGGTGATAATTTGTGGGTTCTGATCTTTGGATTGAACGCACCTATTTAGTGGTCCTTCTCACTTAGACTTTAAGAACTTGATGTGATTGCACTCTCCAAAAAGAAAATAAAAAATTAGGTGGTTGTTTGATGATTTCATATCATTAAATAGAGTTGTTTACTTTACAGATATCCCAATGTCCCTACTGGAATCCGTGACAATGCGTTTTACCTATCATGGATGGGATATAAGTCCCGGAAGTGTTAATTTAAAGCTTGTTATTTTCATTTGAAACAGTGATGTAGTGGCTCAAATTGAACATGAGGACATTGCTGTTATGGGCCTCATCAGGCCTGATGAATGGGTAAGCGTTCAGAAGTATTTAGAAAATAAAAATTACCCTATCACCGTCCTAATCTGTTTAAAACCAGGTTGTAATGTTGGATGAGCGTGGTCATGATGTGGGATCCGAGCAGGTGGCTTCTTTAATCGGAGACGCTGGAAACAAGGTGAGTTATGCTTCATCATGGCAGAGTCTTTTGTTCCTGGTATCATCTATCATGGTTCAGCGGTAAGTATCCCGGCGAGAAATGAAAGTTCTTTCCTGAAATGAGCTTACAGATTTTAAAGTCATCACTGGGAAGGGGATTCTACGCGAAAAAAATAAACACTAGAATTTTTGAATGACTCTTCTCCTCTATCTTGTAGGGAGCATCAAGCTTACTCTTTTGCATTGGTGGACCTTATGGACATGGTAGACAATTGCGAGAGAGAGCTAACGTATCAGTTAAATTGTCATCCTTAGTCTTGAATCATGAGGTTGCCTTAGTTGTACTGATAGAACAACTTTACAGGTCAGAGACTGGAACAAACTATTATTCTTTTGAAGTGCTGGTGCTGCTAACCCCTCCCCCAGTCCCTCATTTATGCTGGTAAATATTTCAGTGTTGAGAAGATGGTTTGAGAATATAGTTTCACAACCTGATGTATTCATGCGTCCTGCGTCCTAGTTGCTCTGTGCTCATTAGTCTTTCGAACTAAAAGGCAAACATATATCCTCTGTCCCTCTCCGTATTAGACACTGTCTGAGATAGTATTATTTTAGTCAAGCAAAAGCTTCCTGGAAACGAGATTCAGTGACATGTGTTGTACAACTTTGGCGGATACTGTGCTAAAATGACTAGCCACCTAATCCTCCTTTACCTTCTCTATAGGTTCCTTTCATCCATTTATGTACATAGTGTCTTTTGCATTAATCTTTTTCACCGAAATCTGATTGTTTATCTATCATGTCCATGCATGAATTTCCAGAAATTTAATCGATACGTTGTTCTGAATATTTTGACAGAGGGTGGACCATTCTTAAAGGACAGAAATACCATCACTAGACATTGATGTCTTAACCATGATAAACCAATACAGGTACAGGTAATACTTCTGCCTAAATATTTGAAACTTCTATTCTATTTTCCATCTTGGTGCTTTGTAATTTACGTTTAATGGATTGGGTTTCAACATATGTGCTGTACTGGCCTTGAGTAGTGAGTATGGAGAGTAATGGTGTAATTACGTATTTATAAAAAAACGAGCTTTATTACCCATTGTGCTTCAGTATTTCAAGTGAACTACTTAGCAAACAATCATATGCATGATAGCATCACACCCTTGTGTAGGTTACCTGATCTGCTGATCATATGGAGAAACCTGTCAAAGTCTCCTAACACGGTTGGCTCGTTGAGATTAGATTATTGCCTTTATTAATATATATTCATTTTGATAGTTTTCCTGATCAAACTAGAAGTTAACATCCATCAAATGGAGTCGATAATTCATTGACTAATTTTTTCAGGATTTCTATTTCTTGGAATTGGAAGAAGGAATTGAAATGACTTCCAAATTTCATTCAACCACCATCAGAGCAACTAAACTCAGGTTTGGACTGCCTTTTGAGGATGACCTTGGCCCCCATTATAGATATTCGACGTGCCTATAGAGAAGAAGGTGGTTGAGAAGTGAGCAGAACCTCATTCGTAGATCCTAAAAGTCTGTCAAGGTCTTGACACGTCGAATACTTGATGTTTTGCTTGGTTTACTACACGGTTTGTGAAACCAGATAGTACTTCTATCGCGATGGTGTGTGTCATGTCACACCTCTTGATGTGCCTGTCCAGATCTAACGTTGCGATGTTGACAAGCCTGGCCTAGACATTTTAGCCACCACAATGATCTAATTCATTATGCCATCTTCACTATTTCTAATGAATGAAGTAAAGGTTTTGTGTATTTATATCCTTTTTGAGTCTTTGGATACCAAGTTAGACAACTATTGTTTCTTGTGATAAGATATTATTCATTTGAAACATTTGCCAAACCAATACACAAAAGACACTTTTGTAGACCAAACTATCTTTTTGATCTTGTTAGAAATTAAAATGGAATATAGTAATTTTCACTTGATATATCTTACATTGTATATGTAATTTTGTATCTCCTATTGCCATTTATCATATGGTAATTTTTGCAAATCTCACCAAACCTTTTGTTTCTTATTCTTAAATCTTAAGGGATGACCAAGTGATAGCTAAAATAAATCTTGGCTCTCCTCAATAAGTCGTAAAACCTCAGACCTGTTCCAATTGAAGTTGATGTGTATAATGAAAAAATAAATCTTAGCTCTCCTCAATAAGTCGTAAAACCTCGGACCTGTTCCAATTGAAGTTGACGTGTATAATCAAAAAATAAATCTTGGCTCTCCTCAATAAGTCGTAAAACCTCATACCTGTTTCAATTGAAGTTGAGGTGTATAATCAAAGAAGGTGACATATGTTAATCTAATAGATGCTAGTGAACATACACCAAACGAGTCTTAACAGAAACACTTTATCATGTGTTTAAGTGCTCATAATAACTCAAGAATCCATGTTCAAACTGGCCACAAAGTCATCTGGCTGGTTAGTATGTCAACTCAACTCATTATCCTACCCCCCCCCTCAATTCTAGCTTCCTAGTCTAAGTTTTAGAGGAAAAGTAAAAACACAAGGGATACTTCTAAGAAATAGATAACTAGATTGGTCAGCTAAAAAGAAGAAAAGACTTCATCTTCCTAAAGATCTCTAGATCAATTCCTTTGTCAAGAGTCTGCAGCAACAGCAGCTATAGCTTCTGGCAAGGGGAGGATTTTCACAGGCGAAATGTGGGATTTGAGCGGAATTTGGGAAGGACTAAGTAACTTCTTCTCCTTTGGAACAGATTCCGTGATTCCAAGAACTTTGCGCACTTCATTTGCTAGCTCTATGATGTAGTCGTCTTCGTGACTAATGTCATGTAAAGCCTTCTCCATTTTGAATATGTATTCCTGGTTATTTCCACAGGGACCAGAGGCAGTAGCAATTTGCCTGAAAATGGATATGAAAAGTTAAGATATGTTGAAAATGTTCAATCTCAAAGCAAAAGATAAGATAATAGAACAATGATCCTCACCTAGCCATCTCTTCCAGTGGAGCAGGACCAAGATAATACTTATTATTTACTTTGTCAGGAGTGGACGTAAACCTGAAAATAGATTTTTGAATCAATTCAACGATCATTGAACAAAATATTTACCGTTTTGATGTTCTTTGATTAGCGTGTTACTTGGGCTGTGGGTCTTTTGGAAACAACCCCTCTACCTCTACGAGGTAGGGGTAAGGTTTGCTTACACTCTACCCTTCCCAGACCCTACCGTCAGCAAGAAATGCAAATAGAATAGCAACCATAGAACTTACACTATCACTCCAGTTAAGGCAGGATGTAAGGAGTCTTCTTCCTGAAATAGAAAGAAGGAAACATTTTCCAAGTTAGCCAAGTGAGCAATTCTATGTTAAGTACACAATCTATGTCATTCCCCTTTTGTAGCAGAGCTTTACTAAACTTCAAAGGTTATCGACTTACCGTGAAGAAGTCCACCAAGGTCTTGCTATCATACTCACACTCTCTTCTTTCTAAATACTGTACAGCAAAAAAATAAACTTTCAGGATCAATTCCAAACAACGTTTCAAACTCTGATGAGTAAATGTGATATTGATCAAAGGATATGTAACAAAACTGTAATGCCAAGTCCCCAGAGGCGACAAGTCTGATTCATAAACATTTACTGTGAAAACATTATTGAGGAGTCAAAGAAGAACCAATGTACCTCCATTGCCTCCTTCTCTTTTTCAGGTCCTCCTCTCACACAATAAGCAGCACCCCACTAAAAGAAAATGCACAGATAAGTTAAATTATGTCGTGGAAACAGCTATGAATCAATAAAAATATTTACTTTTAGAAAGTACACAATATCAGGTCAACTAAAAGATAACTATAGTCGCTTGCAAATAAATGCTACAACTAATTTCCTAATTACCTAAAACAAGTTAAATTAAGCAGTGCATACAAGTTAAATTCTTGTTCTTATTATTATGAAAATCAGCTTCACCATGGAGAAAGAGTTAACACTAGGAGATAATGGTCAAAAACACACTTGAAGTATCACGTTTTTGCGAGTTTCTTACTTTAACTATCATGGTATTTGTGTTTCCTTCCTAAACTATCACAAACTATTTATCAAAACACGTATTGACTAGTATTTGATGGTGCGTGCCTGTGTGGTGTAAAATTTCTTTTTTGTTTTCAAAATAGTTCCAAATGGCACTCCACGCGGATAATTAAAAGAATTAATTAGAAAACAAAATTAAGAAATAATGATAAAACACACATCTCAATTATCACTTTTTTGCGAGTTTCCTACCTGAACTAGGAGTTGTTTGCATTTCCTACCCAAACTATTTATGAAAACACAACTCGAAATTAATGAGTTAATTACCATGCAGACGAAATTTTATAGGCAAATTAAGTTGTCACGCGCCTTTTAGAGATTGAATTCAAACACTTGGTCTAGTCACCCTCGAGGTGTGTTTTGATAAATAGTTAGTAATAGTTCAGGTAGGAAACGCAAGCACCTGATAGTTCAAATATGAAACTCGCAAAAAGTGTCAATATTGAAGAAGGTAATAGATGCTAATATCTACTTACACAAATGGCTCCTTTGCTTTCATCCAGAGTGCAGGTTCTTGCAGGTTTTTCAGGTGTACCTCTGTGATCAATGCAAGCTGATGATTGATGTATTCAACATTCAACAACAATCACAAAAAAGTTAGTATTTTATACTTTAGACAAATAAAACTCAACAATTTTGAAGCATCAATAAGAACATACCGAGATCAAACACACGCCTATAATCCTTAATGTATCCAATCAATTTCTCATCATACTCAAATCCAGGGTTCCATACCAATGACCCATAGCCAAAAATCCAAAACACCATGTTTCTGAATCTTCCTCTAGTTAATATCTGCACTATTAACCATAAAATCAATTAAAAATATACTTTTCCTCCAATTCGGCAAAAGAAACATACATGAATTTCTGAAAATGGTGAAGAATTAGAGATTGGACATGAGTTATAATAGAAGGCTAGTAGGTATGTTATCAAAGACGCGCTTTAAGAGCGCTTAAGCCCTGAAGTGAGGCTCAACGTGTTGAGCGCTTCACCTCGCTTTATGTGCCCTTTAGTGTTGTCATCAAGGTTCTAAGGCAAACATTTCCTTGCCAATGAGCCTCTTATGAAGAATTTGAAGCTAAATAATTGATATTTCACTTTATCATAATTTTTTTCAATTTCTTTGGTCATATATTTGTCATTCATGTTTATAATTATTAGTCTTAGACTAAACATATATATATATATATATATTTTCCCTTTGCGCCTTTTTTCGTTAAAGCCCACGCTTTATTTGCGCTTAAAGCCCCCACAGACCTAAGAGCTTTTTTGTGCTTTTCGCCTTTGATAACACTGGACTCACTCGTGATTGTCTAGCTTTTCATCGCATACATGTAGTAGTAGTATTACTCTTGTATTTCTTGTTCTTCGATTTCTGTTAGTATTTATTGTTTCTTCTACTTCGATTATCTTACTATTTAGTTGTCTAAATGTTCATTTTCATTCTTTCCCTATTATTTGTCATGGCCGTTCCTTTTCCGTACTGCTTTGATATGCTTCTCCTTGAGTCGAGGACCTCTCAGAGATAGTCTCTCTACCTCCCAAGGTAAGGGTAAGGTCTGCATCCACTCTACCCTCCCTAGACCTCTACTTGTGAGATTACACCACATACGTTATTGTGGTTATTGTTGGTTAAAAATTAGAAATTAGAACAAAATACAGCATAAAAAGCTATGGTTAGAGGTATTCATTAGTCCCGGGATTATTTATCCTACCATTTGTGCTAAAATGACGAGATTAGCATATCTTGATCCATGCTATAACTTTATCTATCCTATCCTAAGGTGTGCTATCACAATCAATTATCATATCCCACGTTATCTCAT